GTTGTAGTCGTCTCGTTAGGACCATTTAAAGACAGTTCTCACACACGTGGGACACCTTCAGTCCTGTCTTGAACATCGGCCATAGTCATAGACGAAAATCGTGTGAGAAGGACATTATCGCGAAGGGTCAAAGACAAAATCTCGGAGTCAAAGCTTTTTTTCTGTCAAAGACAAATTGCAGGGTTAATAACTTTTCGCGGATACCTGCCCTGGAGATTATGGTACGTTAAAAGGGAATTGTAGGACAGCTGAGATCACGGCTAAGAGGGATGGAACGACCAGGCTGGAGAATTGACTCAGTGAAGGCAAACCCTGATCGAAATGCAGGAGGTTTCTAAGTAAATATTAATGTCATAAAGCATATCCTTAAAAAAAAAGAATATTCGTCTCAGGTTAGTAGCAAATCTCAGTCCAATCTAACGAACAGAAATCCAACTTTTGTCAATTTCCGGTTGAGAAAATAAGTAGAAATGTGCCGGGTACTTCGAAGAAATCTCTCTGTCAGACTGATGAAGATGAACGACTTCAAACTGCCTACTTCTTGAACCCTCGACCCTCGTTGGAGAAGGGCAGCGTTGTTAGGGAAAATACACGAAAAAAAATCGGAAAAAAACGAAAAGAAAAACGTAGGATTGGACGATAGTACACACAATAAAGATATAATTCTGACTCAGGTAGCATTATGACTCGATATACAAAATCTACTACAAATCTCATACCTATTCTACTCAGTGTCGACTTTACAGGAGTTGCTGTGACTCGAAAGCAGCATTCCTCTGGCATCTTCTTTTCTAATACTCGAGTGGACAACAAGTAATATCTTCTCTTCCTCGACTGGAAACTTCTACCTCACCCTCGAGGCTCTGAGTCAGACTTAATAGAAGGACGAAGTTACGAGAGACTTCTGTCGGTTATTTCGATTATACGGGATTCTGGGACTCATATCAATAACGATAATAAGTGTAATAATAATAATGATGATAACAGCAATAATAATAATAATAATAATAATAATAATAATAGTAGTAGTAATAATGATAATAATAATAATAATAATAATAATAATAATAATAATAATAATAATAATAATAATAATAATAAAAAATAACACCAATAACAATAATAAAGATAATAATAATAATAATAATAATAATGATAATGATAACACCAATAAAAATAATGATAATAATAATAATAATAATAATAATAATAATAATAATGATAATAATAACAAAAATAATAACACCAATAATAATGATAATAATAATAATACCAATGACAAAAGTAAAACAACAACAAAATAATGATAATAATAATTGTAATAAAAATAATAATGATAAAAATATTAATAACAATAAGAAAAAATGATAATAGTAACAACAACAACAACAGCAATTATAATAATAATAATGATAATAGTAATAATAATAATAATAATAATAATAATAATAATAATAATAATAATAATAATAATAATAAAATAATAATCATTATAACAATAATGATAAGTAATGAGGGTTAGGATGGGGATGATGATGATGATGATGATGATGATGATGATGAAGAGGAGGAGGAGGAGGAGGAGGAGGAGGAGGAGGAGGAGGAGGAGGAGGAGGAGAGGAGGAGGAGGAGGTAGGGGTGGAAAAGGATGGGGAGGAGGAAGAAGAGGAGGAGGGAGAGGAGGAGGGGGGAGGGGGAGGGGAGGAGAGGGGAGGGGAGAGGCAGAAGGTGGGGGAGGGGAAGGAAGAGGAGGAGGAGGAGGAGGAGGTTGGGTGGGGAGGGGGAGGGGTGGAGGAGGGGAAGGGAAGGAGAAGGAGAAGGAGGAGTGGAGGAGGAGGAAGAGGAGGAAGAGGAGGAAGAGGAGGAAAGGAGGAGTAGGAGGAAGAAGATGATGATGAGGATGATGATGAAGATGATGAAGAGGAGTAGAAGGTAGAAGAGAAGAGAAGAGAAGAGAAGAGAAGAGAAGAGAAGAGTAGAGGAAAGAAAAGAAAAGAAGAGAAGAGAAGAGAAGAGAAGAGAAGAGAAGAGAAGAGAAGAGAAGAGAAGAGAAGAGAAGAGAAGAGAGGAGAAGAGAAGAGAAGAGAGGAGAAGAGAGGAGAAGAGGGGAGAGGAGAGGATAGGAGAGGAGGGGAGAGGAGAACCGAGGGCGGCCACAAAGCATGGAGGCTGCAGCAAATTGATCGGATCTCCAGAGGGATGATGGGAATGAGAAGGGCATCTGCATGAACGCTCGCTTGGGAGAGGAAGAGGGAGAGGGAGAGGGAGAGAGGGAGAGGGAGAGAAGGAGAGGAAGAGGGAGAGGGAGAGGGAGAGAGGGAGAGAGGGAGAGGGTGAGGGAGAGAGGGAGAGAGGGAGAGGTGAAGAAGGCGAGGAAGAGGGAGAGGGAGAGAGGGAGAGGTGAAGAAGGCGAGGAAGAGGGAGAGGGAGAGGGAGAGAGGGAGAGGTGAAGAAGGCGAGGAAGAGGGAGAGGGAGAGGAAGAGGGAGAGGGAGAGAGGGAGAGAGGGAGAGGGAGAGAAGGAGAGGGAGAGGGAGAGAGGGAGAGAGGGAGAGGGAGAGAGGGAGAGGGAGAGGGAGCGAGGGAGAGAGGGAGAGGGAGAGAGGGAGAGAGAGGTGAAGAAGGCGAGGAAGAGGGAGAGAGGGAGAGGTGAAGAAGGCGAGGAAGAGGGAGAGAGGGAGAGGTGAAGAAGGCGAGGAAGAGGGAGAGGGAGAGGAAGAGGGAGGGGGAGAGGGAGAGAGGGAGAGGGGGAGAGAGGGGGAGAGGGAGAGAAGGAGAGGGAGAGGGAGCGAGGGAGAGAGGGAGAGGGAGAGAGGGAGAGGTGAAGAAGGCGAGGAAGAGGGAGAGAGGGAGAGGTGAAGAAGGCGAGGAAGAGGGAGAGAGGGAGAGGTGAAGAAGGCGAGGAAGAGGGAGAGGGAGAGGTGAAGAAGGCGAGGAAGAGGGAGAGGGAGAGAGGGAGAGGTGAAGAAGGCGAGGAAGAGGGAGAGGGAGAGGGAGAGAGGGAGAGGTGAAGAAGGCGAGGAAGAGGGAGAGGGAGAGGAAGAGGGAGAGGGAGAGGGAGAGGGAGAGAGGGAGAGGGAGAGGGAGAGGGAGAGAGGGAGAGAGGGAGAGAGGGAGAGGGTGAGGGAGAGGGAGAGGGTGAGGGAGAGAGGGAGAGGTGAAGAAGGCGAGGAAGAGGGAGAGGGAGAGAGGGAGAGGTGAAGAAGGCGAGGAAGAGGGAGAGGGAGAGGAAGAGGGAGAGGGAGAGAGGGAGAGGGAGAGGGAGAGGGAGAGAGGGAGAGAGGGAGAGAGGGAGAGAGGGAGAGGTGAAGAAGGCGAGGAAGAGGGAGAGGGTGAGGGAGAGAGGGAGAGGGAGAGAAGGAGAGGGAGAGGGAGAAAGGGAGAGGTGAAGAAGGCGAGGAAGAGGGAGAGGGAGAGGGAGAGAGGGAGAGAGGGAGAGGGTGAGGAAGAGGGAGAGGGTGAGGGAGAGAGGGAGAGGTGAAGAAGGCGAGGAAGAGGGAGAGGGAGAGGGAGAGAGGGAGAGGTGAAGAAGGCGAGGAGGAGGGAGAGGGAGAGGGAGAGAGGGAGAGGTGAAGAAGGCGAGAGAGAGGGAGAGGGAGAAGGAGAGAGGGAGAGGGAGATAAGGAGAGGGAGAGAGGGAGATAGGGAGAGGGAGAGGGAGAGAAGGGGGAGGGAGAGGTGAAGAGGGTGAGGGGGACGAGTGGGAAAGAGGGGGGGAGGGAAAGGATGAGGGTGAGAGAGAGGGAGGAAGAGGGGAAGGGAGACGGTAGAGAGACGGAGGGAAGAGGAGAGGGTGAGGGGAACGAGAGGGAGGGAGGAAGAGAGGGAGAGGAACAGGGAGATGAGGAACGAGAGGAAAGGGAGACTAAGAGGAAGAAGTAGAGGGAGAAGGAGAGGGAGGAAAAAGGAGGGGGTGAGGGAGAGCGAGAGGGAGAGGAGAAGATAAAGAGGGAGTGGGGGAAAGAAGGAGGAGGGAGAGGAAAATGGTGAAAGAGAGGGTGATGGAGAGAAAGGGAAAGAAGAAGAAGAGGAGGGGAGGGAGAGGAGGAGAGGGAGGGAAAATTAGAAAGAAGGGGAAAGAGGGAGAGAGAGAGAGAGAGAGAGAGAGAGAGAGAGAGAGAGAGAGAGAGAGAGAGAGAGAGAGAGAGAGAGAGAGAGAGAGAGAGAGAGAGAGAGAGAGAGAGAGAGAGAGAGATTCCTTTATCGCTGTTCATCTCACTGCTTGTCAGATTTCTGTTGACAATGTCAGTCTAGTCAGCTTCCATAACTGTCCCTAATTTTCCCTTCTTCTCCCCTGCTTTATCTTATTTTCCCCTTTTATTCTCTTATATCTCCCCTTTCCCTTTCGTTCCACATCCTATTAGGAAAAACAATATTTACACTCTATTCTCGACTCTCGATTTCCGCGCCATTTTAGTTGCGCTTGTTGTTGTTCACTTGTTTTGTTTCCGTGTTTTACAACTTCGCGAGGAGGGGAAGTGTCCTTCCTTTAATTGGGGAAGTATAATCGACGGCCATTATCAGGTCATTATGGTTCGCGGTTGAAAGAAAAGTTTAAAAGGACACACACAAAATACTTAAATTGTGTTTGTTATTTTTTCCTCGTAGACTAAATTCTTAAAATCTGATGACGTCACAATCCGTGAGGTTATAAGAGTTGGTTGTTATCTCACGATGTTTTTTGTGCGTTATTTTTTCCGTTCTCTATGATTTCGGGTTTACATAACTTAGAAAAAAAAACGTGAAATTTAAAATGCGAACGACTACTATTAATCGATAGATAACTAAGACGATTGCCAAGGGACAGAAGAGGATGGGCAGGGGGAAGGAGAGGGATGGAGGAAGGGTAAGAGGAAAGGGGAGGAGGGAGGGTGAAGGGAAGGGCATGGGGGCGGAGAGACAATTGGGCGAACAGCCTAACCTTACGAACAAGAGGCTCCAAGGGTCCTAGTTGCATCGGCGCCGTTATATAGCGATCGCCTGGCACTGTGATGAATATTG